CGGGAGGGCGGGGGGGAACGCGGTTCGAAGACGCGTCTGCTGTGGTTCCCACGTTGTGAGGTAGTTCGATATGGCTTTTAGTCAACAATGGCCGTCGGACTAGCGAGTCAAATTTCATACACCCGTGTCAAAGGCCTGACTTTTCACACCACAAGGCGCGTTCATATCATTCAAGCAAACAAAATACGCCGCAGTAAGTAAACTGGATCTAAAGGTCGACAATTAGTAACAAAGGTCGACAAATTAGTAACAAAAACTCAATAGCGACCTCACTTATAAAGGTGGACGTACAATTTGAAATGAAGAGGGGAATAAATGGAATGCCATCTAGAAGCATTTACAGGAGGCCCGATCATTTAGGGTGATCTGAGAAATGCGAATTGCATGAACATCCTGGGCATTAAGTGGCCGACAGAAAAGCGCGCAATAAAACTCGGAGATGAGAGCTGGGGTTGAAGAAGACATCGCACAGCGTAGAAGAAAACTTGAGAAATATAGAATACAACAAACCTTGCCCGCTGCTATTGCTTCGGGAACCCCGGTAGCCAGTTTGCAGAGTGCATCCACGAGATAGGTAAGAGAACGCTGATCGAAGGACCTGCAGTGAAAACAAGAGGCATGTTTAGACCGAAGGTAAAATGTTTAGTAATGCGCAAACTAAAACTCGTTATTGGCATTCAAACTCTAAGAATACTAATTGCCATGAACGAGTGCAAACTTTGGGCACACATGGTAACAGTCTTCCTGTTGTCCCCATAACTGGTCGCATGCGCACGCGTTTTTGTCACTGCAGTAAAAAGAGGCTAAAATATGTAGTATATATTTCACTTCAAAATCTCAAAAGTACGGTTTTATTAAAGCTTCAAATAAATTAAGAAGGCCCCTTCATTCAGTAAAATTTCAAAAATCGTGCATGTTTCCCACAAACTATATTTGAATGTATAGAGTGATCGAAAATCGATAAGAAAAATACATATTATTGAAGTAGCCGTTTTCACGGCGTGTGGGAGGGGGTCAGGAAGAGGCTCAAGCAAAAGCCGGCATCCTGAGGTGATAGAAGTATTTTGAGGTAAGTTTGTAGATAACAACCCTATGTAAATAATTTGCTTGAATCTAAAACATTTCTGAATTCCGCTTGACATTTCATGAGATACAGGATCTACTGTTAGTTTTTATTTATCCTTTCAGATCAAGTAAATAGGAAAGGAGGGGGAAGATTCATCCGGACACGCTGGTGTCCTCAGTTGAATGTCGCTAGCGAAGTGGTAAATTTATTATCTCCCAGAGTCATACGCTAACAAAGCGAAGCATTTTTCCAGGTGCATTACCTCTGTCTAAAATGGCAAAGTACGTGGTTGTTTTAGTTAAGCTGGCGGCTTTTATGTTGTGGCCTGTGCGCCTACCAAACCCTTTTTTTCAAAGTATTTCCAACACACTTTTGCAGAGACATTTAGTGCATCGAGGTAGTTCGCCACCATTCGAACAGAAACCAAAAGAACACACAAACCAGCGCGCGCGCGCGCTTTCAACTGGCATTGCAAAGTTCAAAGGCTCAACCGGCCGGGCAGAAAATGGCTATGTGCGTGCAAGAGCCAGGGACTCTTGAGAAACGGCCAACAAAAAATACAACGAGTGGGGAGATTGGTCCGAGCCAATATCGCAAAATAGGGCGGCCATCGAGCAGCATTTGCAGGACTTGCTTTATGCGTACAACTTTGGCCAACAAGAAAGGCGTTTTCGTGGGACAGAAGAAGGAGAAGCATAGGAGAGACA